GGGGGTCCGTAGGGCTGCTGGGGGTCTGCATGGCTGCAGCAGGCCTAGCTGCTGGCAGCTTCCGGAGCAGCTCCCGGGCAAAGAGCATTGCTGCTGTGGAGCCACTACAGCAGGTGCTGGGTCAAACCACGGTTTCACCAGGCAGTCCCGGTGCCCCAGCAGCACAGAGCATCTCCCCCCTTGCCTGGGACAGTGCCGCTCCCTGCAGAGGGGCACGGCAGCCATCCACAGCTACACAGCGCAGTGCCACAGGGCAGACAGACACGCAAAATCTTAGGAAGGATCTGAGCCTGGGCCATGCCTGCGGTGTATTGCTGGTCACTTGGGCAAGGAGGACAAATTCTCCTTTTTGGCAAAGCCGCCTCCGCCGTGAGGCAGAGGGGAGGGCGAAGGCTCTCTCCTGCTCCAGAGCTGGGTCCCAGGCTGCCGGGGAGGGTCACCCCTCCGCCTTCCACTGCAGCACAGGCACAGACACTGCGACATGGGAAAAGGCCAGAGCAGATCAGCTGCTATTAAAAAGCCCGTTATCACCGACGGGTATGATGGTGCTCTCCTCCAAGGCTGCAAAAGGACAGAGAAGGCAGTGTGTAGCTTTATGTGTTCATTGTATATGGGTAATGTTTTACTAATCTGGGCAAATGCATTGATTTGTATGTCTTTTATCTATTTTCTCCTGGAACCCTTTATAGCATTTCAAGCTGATCACCATCTTTCCCCTAAGGTACTGGTGAGCACACAGGCAAACACCTTCTAAAAACACTCCTCCCACACATATGTTGAAATGTTCTTGTTTGGTATGACATTTCTGGGTGGCGGGAGTGCAGAGCCTCAGTGACTCTTCTACTGTAACAGCTCGTTTCCTTAGTGGAGAAGACCCATCTTCATCAAGCATCAGAGCTAGCAAATGCTAACTCGTTCTCAAACACCCTGCCTAAAACCGCCAAGACTTCTGATTCGATTTCTGTCTCTTGGGATCCTTCTCCCACATGTCACCAGAGAACTAATTACCTATGCGGAAAGACAAGTGGGCTCTTTTAGGAGGTCTTTACACAAAGCAGTTAAATTAGTTGCCGGCTCAGCTCAGCTGTCCTTTGGTTTGTGATGGTCAATGCATTTCCCTCTGTATTTGTACAAATCTGATAGGTATCTTCATACTGTTCTGCTACTTTACAGACTGATTTTTCTTATCTATAAAATACCAAAGTAAACAAGCCTAAGGCTTTTGACCTTTGAATTAAAATGTGCCTGGGATACCCTGAAAATCTTACTGAAAGCATCTGGTGGTTTAAAGGAGCTAATTAAATTCGTCAGCACATATAGGATCAGCATTTTCACGGTTTAAAGGGTCAGAGAAGAAAGTACAGTCAGAATCACCAAACAAGCGATTAATGAGATTCAAAAAAAAGGTCAGGGCTGCCAGAGGCGAGCGGGCCTGGGAGGTGGCTGCAGGCTGGCGTGGGACAGGGGGCCCTCCACACTCTGGCCGTGGGACGCTCCCCAGCCCTGGCGTGGGCCACAGCCACGCCAACCTGCTGCTGGGAGGGAAGTGGGCTGCCTTCGGCACCGTTTTTAGAGCCAGAAGCTTAAAACCCCTTCTTCTGGAGGAGCAGAGCTGTGGGCCAGGGGAGGCACGGGGCAGGAGGTGGCAGGGCCACATGGGCGCACGTCACCGGCAGGCAGCTCTCTGGATGCTCAGCCCTAGGGACGGATCATGGGGGAGCCTGAGGCGGGGCGGGCGGCGACAGGCAGCACGCTGACTCTGCTCCAGCTCTTGTGAAAAAGGAAAGAAAGTCTTTCTTCAACGCCTTGCGCTCAACAGCCTTTCTCCTAAGGCTGCTGGAACCTTGAGAGGCGGCCATCGCACACGTGTGCACGGGGATGCCGTCGTGTGCGTGTGTGTGCACGAGTGCACGTGGACACATGTACATGTACATGTCTGTCCATGCACGCGTGTCTGCGTGCATGCGCGCTGCGCAGAAGCAGAGCAGATTACAGCATCAGGTCACATGGGAGCCGCTGCTGGACGGACCCTACCTGGGATTTGGGTTCTTACAGTTAATAGGATCGCTGGAGCTCAAGGCCATCATCCCATCAAGATAAATGTCTCTAGTGCCCACTTTTAAGCAATCTGAATTCAATTAGGCTAATTGGAAAACAAGTAAAGAAGGATTGTGTTAATACAGCCTCACAGCAGCCAAACTCCCCTCCCTCCCCGCAGCGGGACGGCCGAGCATGGCGAGCCCAGCGTCGGAAAAAAAAAGAAACATCCCGCTAGAAAAACCGCGGGAGGTGACTGCCAAGGTCTGAGGGACGCAGTGACGGGAGGAGGCAGCAGCTGCCTCATACATCGTGCTTCAAGAAGGGTCTTCAACTGCATGCTTAGAAACTTCTGGGGAGGAAAAAAGCAAAGCCATTTTTTTCAGTTTTTAACAGTCATCTGTGGGATGATGCAGAGTATGCAAACTGCAGCAGGGTACAGGCTTCCGCTGGGTGAGTATTTCCCCCTTCTCCTTGCCCCCCCGCCCCTTGTCGATCTGCTGTCTGACCCTGGAAGTCCCGTTTATCTCTCCAGGAGGCCCTCCCTGCAGCACATCGCCGGTCTGGAGAGCCATGTCCCACCTGCAGAGCGACTTCGGCTTCAAATGTCGGCTCTCCAAGGCAGCAATTATTTCAGCTTGACATAAAGAAAAGGCAGGAGGAAAGGAAGCAAGAATCTGTGGCATTTTATGGTGCTGATTTCATTGTGTGAAGCCATGTCCCATACGTATGTCTCAACAGCACCAACAGGACCAAAACTACTCCCACTTAGTCTTCACCAGGTGTGCCCAGGAAAGGGGCATAGCCGACAGCTGTGCTTTAGAGGCTGTCCATCTCAAGAACTTTTCCTAGCTTCCAAACATAACTTCAGCAGTA